TTATAAAAGAATATGTAGATAAAAAAAGTGTCGATATATGCCTTCATTTTTCTTAATAGTTAAAGTTAAAACTGAACTTTTTAAAATAAAGTATTTATCGTGTCATTTTCACCAACTAGCAAAACATTTTTATAAGTTTAAAATGGTATTTTTTTAATATAATAACCAAGAAAGTTTTTTTTGAACTATGTTTATGAACGGAAATAATGTGTTAATTACGTAAAGTTTGAAGGCTAATAACCAGAAAAAGTCTAACTTATTTTTACAAGAGAAAGATGCAAAGTTATCATATCTTTGCTTGCGATCTCCGAGATCTGTAGACACAGTGACGTCATGAGGAGGGAAATCGTAGCTTCAGCTCTAAGAGCGGAGTGAACTAGCCCTTGTATTCTCTTTATCCCTGGAGGTAAGGTACGACCGTAGACTCTCCATGTAGTAAATGGCGACTGATGCACGTTAAATCTGTCGAGTCGCAAAGTCCTCCATGTTCCCATAACAAATCAATACCTCTGGGGGTGGAGATCCAGGAGTTTTCTTGTCTTCTAGATTGGTTCAAAATTGCAAGGCTACGTAGTTGAACATTAGTTGTCGTAAACTCAAGACATTGGGTTGGTTGTTCAATGACGGTTATAAAATAAAATATATTTTGGGAGTTAGAGGATAAAGCGTTCGCCATCCAATGAGGTGATCCGAATTCGAATGCTAGTGATGATTGGTCTGTACCAATTCCGCATCCGGCAGGTCCCGTCCACAGTACTAACGTGAAATATCCTCAGTGGTAGATGGATAATGGGTTAGAGTCCCCTTGCCTTGGGAAGCTTCTCGTGGTCTTCCTCTTCATGTAACGCAAATGCAGGTTAGTTCCATCAGAAAATCCTCCACGAAGGCAAATTTCTCCCAATACTTGATCCAGGAGTTTCCTTGTCTTCTGGATTGAAATCAAAATTACAGGGCTACGGAGTTGAACATTAGTAGCCGTAAACCCAAAACATTGGGCCGGCTGTTCAGCAACGGTTATAAAATGTTGTAAAATGTATTTTGGGAGTCAGAAATCCGAATTCGTTGAATAAAAGGTATGTTTATTCAGAGAAGGTTCGTTTTTCTGTCTGATTTCGTAACTTAAAATATCGCCTGCGCTAAGTATTTGGCATATTTGAGATCACCCCCCTTCAACTACGAAGTTTGAAACCTAAAACGCGAAGATCCGACCATTAGATCAAAAGTTATTCTGAGTGGTCTGCTTTTAATTTTGCGTACTGTTCACTAATGTTTTACGCGGGTTATTTGGGAGTAATTTTTGGTAATGTATTTGCCGGAACGCAAAAAAATACTAAAAACCAACTTTTAATTTCCAAAAAAGTGTTTGACATTTTCTTTCTTCGACAGCATGTCAGGTGGCGAGTTGTTCGAAAAGATCACAGACGACAACTACTTCATGAGTGAGGCAGAAGTAATCAATTACATGCGGCAGATATGTGAAGGCATGAAACACATGCATGAAAGAAACATCATTCATCTGGACATAAAGGTAACGCATCTTTAAGTATCCACTTCCTTAGATTCTAAACTACTGCCGAGTTACTACTTGTTTCCAGGACAGATCTGGTAAATCCGGAAAATATGTGAATTAAATACCCACTTAATATGTAACCCTTGCAACAATTCTACCTTGTGCCCAGTTGGGCTCAAAATTGGCTCAATATGGGTCCTATGTGGACATGCACCGAGGGACCCATATTGGGATGTGTAGATTTTTTAATATTGGTCCTATGCAGTGTCAATATCGGCCTATATAGGGTTAATATTGGCTGAATAATGAGTATAAAATACAGGATGAATCTAACAATTTTATATAGGACCTATATTGGCTGTAAAGGGGCAGTAAAATATATGGTGAATCACACATTTCTATATGGGGCCCGTATCAGAAAAATATCGGCCCTTTGTACGCTTATCGAGCCAAGATTCTTGGTCGAATGAGGGCCCAAGTTATTTTGCTGCTAGGGTAGCGAGATAAACTTCACCTGATGTAAAGCATTCCTGTACTTGACTGTCACATTTTCAGAAACAACTTCTTCAGAAAGTTCTTTAATTCTGCTATTCTTAATGCCTTTGACAACCATAAATCTTGTTCCATTTGCAAATGTGTTTCGTTTCAGAATTAGTGGAAATGAATCATTCGTCGCTCTCTTCCGAAAAAACCTTAGCAGACTTTTCCGAAACTAAAACATTTGTTAAAACAGCCATGTTCACGAATGTCAGAATTAAAGCATTTCTTACAAGAACTATGCTTATCCATAATTTATTTTTTTTCTAAAGTGCGTATCAAATCACTCAAACTTTAATTTCTAAAAAATTTTATGCCAAATGGCTCACCAAGAAATATAATACGCCACTGGAGTCAGACAAAATTCAAAACTTTCCTGATACTATTCGTTCCAGCAACTTGAAAATAAACCTTTTTAGAGGTCTGTGACTTCTCGAAAAAATTTCAAAATATTAGTTTCGTTTATGTTATTTATTCAATCACTCCATAGAAAAAAACCAATGATTCCTCAGCAGCGAAGTAAATAAAATTTGTATATGTTTAAGAGTATCGATATTTTTGGTTATCATCGGTATTTTAAATCATTCTACCAACATAGTTTCTTATATATTTCTTATATTCTATATGTGTGCTCTATGTATTATATATTACAATTTCTTATATTCTACATGTGTTTCTTCATTGATTAGCCTGAAAACATCATGTGTCAGACCAAAGCGAGCAATGCCATCAAATTGATTGATTTTGGACTTGCCACAAAGTTGGATCCCAATGAAGTGGTCAAAATTTCCACAGGAACTGCTGAGTTTGCTGCTCCAGAAATTGTAGATAGGGAACCAGTTGGGTTCTACACGGATATGTGGGCGGTCGGTGTCCTGGCATATGTTCTGTAAGTAATTCTCTCATTTTCACAAAGTTCAAAATAATTTCTGTTTTTGATTTAAGCTCTTCACTGGAACGAACATCATTTTGAATAAAAGCTCAATATTTATTTTTAAGAGAATAAGATAACTGCAATTCATTGCAATGTTTTTATATTGCAATAGCCGAAACATGGCATCCTTGAGAACATATTGAGGTATGATTTTAATCAATGAAGCCCCATGTTTTCTGAGATTTCTCAACCAGTGAACAAAATATCTATAATCCAATTATACGGTTTCGTACACCTCACGTAAATTTATTCCTAACTCGTAAATTAATTTTGCATGCATGTTTTATATCTTTCTTCATCCTATTGACTCCTATATACTTACATATACACTTTATTTACCAAATAATAGTTATAAGCATATACTTTATTTACCAAATTATTAAAAAATTTATCAAAAATGCCAGAAACTTTGTCCCATTGAATAATGTGGCTTTACATTTTAACAAATATTTTTTTTTAAATATTCAATACTATTCTAATTTTTCATAAAATTTAATTTGGTGCTTACGCCACATTCTAAAATTAAAGTTAAACACTTAATACTTCGTTTAATAACTAGTTAAGGAATCAATAAAAAAAGGTGAAAAACTTTCTTCCAAAATTGATCGTGGTAGAAAGCGATAAAGAATAGCGTCCAAGCGAATAAAATCAGATCAGTTCAGTTGGTGATGTTCAACTTTAAAAAATCGAGTGTTGCCATCTAGTCAATGCTAAGTTCTGATGGAACATTATGTTCGACTATATGGAAATAATATTAGTGGGACTTCTCCCTACAAGTTACCCTTTTTACCTTAAAGTGTAGAACCTGGTAGCCCATGTTATTCTAAGCGCGTGCAAGCTGCTAAGGTTAATGTAAGCAAAACAATATTTAGTCCTCTCTTGCAAAATATTTTTAAAAAATATGCATTAACGTTGGCAATATTTTCCCAACTATTCTTAATGACGACTACCTTAGAAGTGATAAAAAAAAGATTTCTCATCAAAGTTGAAACACTGAATCAAACTCATATGTAACGAAACAATTGTTAATGTTCTGTTATTTCATAGTTGTGAATGTTTGATCAAATCTGTTTTGTTTTGTGCAGATTGAGCGGCTTGTCCCCTTTTGCTGGTGACAGTGACGTAGAAACGCTGAGAAATGTCCGCGCTTGTGATTGGGAGTTCGATGAGGAAGCTTTCACCAACATTTCACCTGAAGGAAAAGACTTCATCAGCAAACTCCTTCTACGCAGCAAAGAGTAAGTGAAATAAGCTTTTTACTTCCTAACATAAACTATAAGTAAACAACCTTTCTTTCAACTAACCGAATCTTACCTTTTGCAAAAGAAATGCAACCCTAATAACTTCAGGTGTCTTTCGACTTAACTTGCCCCCGCTAAGTTACGATCCAAATTCTGAAAGAATCTATTTTGTGCTCTACAACGTGAAAATAAAAACATGCAACCATTTCGATACTATATAGTGAAGCACCTTCAATGTGAAAAAACAGATATGCAAAAGAAATTACAATGATAATACTGCCGTGCTATTGAAAAATCAACGTGACACAAATTTCCAAATTGAGATTTTTATATACATGCCATCTTTGTATGGTAAGCTAAATATTGCTAAAAACGTTTTTGCAATATTTAGCTTACCATACAAAGATGCCATATATATTTAGTAATTTTTTTTAATTGCATGCAGAGAGCCATGATGGCTCAGAGGATAGAGCGTTCGCCTTCCAATCAAGTGAATCGGGTTCGAATCCTAGTCAATACGAATTCCACATCCAACTTGCACCGATCACAGTGCTGACGTGAAATATCCTCTGTGGTAGGCACATCATAGGTTAGAGTCCCCTTGCAGTCAGGCTAACCGTGAGAGATTTTCTTGGTCTTCCTCTCCATGTAAAGCAAATGGGAGTTAGTTAAATCAAAAAGTCCTCCTCGAAGGCAAATTTCTCCCAAATACTTGATGCAAGAATTCCCTTGTCTTCTGGATTGGGTTCAAAATGACAAGGCTAGGGAGTTGAACATTAGTAGTCGTAAATCCAAAAATTAGGTCGGCTGTTCAACGATGGTTATGAAATAAAAAAACTGTTTTCTATGCTGATTTCCTCACTTATTTGACACAGCGTTTTTGCTTCTTATACTTTTAAAGCAGGGTCGGCCCTAGATATTTTGGCGCTCCGGGCAAAACCTTAATTTTGCGCCCCTCCACCCCGTTTTTTTTAAGTAAATCTCATGCGACCATATCAGAAAGACAAGAAAACTTTAAAAAACGTTTTTTTTTAAACATTTTTTTCAAAAACTCAATCATCAGATAACAAGATAAGCAATTTAGCACTTAAGGCTAAATAACAAAAATTAAAGTGTAGTAATGCTAACTAAACTAATATCTCATATTATAAATAAATTCTAACTAACCAAAGTAATTAAAATGCCCTTTTCTTTCGGCAAACTCACGAACCAGTGATTTCAAGTATAATTTGTCGCTAAGCTTTTCCGCTCAGATAAATAAATCAAAGTTATTAGGAACAAACAAAAAACTTAAATAATTTTTTTTAAATAACTTTTTTTTTAAATTTCTGATTTGGCGACATGTTTCCATCTAGACAAAAAGCTAGTTCACAGAAAGCGAAAAAACTTCTTTGATTGTAGTTTAATTGTTTGTAGTTTCTTTTGTATTTTTGTGCTTCGATACTAAAGCTTCTTCATGATAGTACCGAAAAAAGCGTAAGAGTTGGTTTCTTCTATTCTCGACTCTTTGTTACATACAACGAGCGATTTTGAACAAACTAATCGGAGATTTTGATATCATTATTTCTGCACAAATTGGGTTTTTCTCGAGTTTGTTTTAGTGTTCCAAATTTAGTGCAATGTTTCCTTTTAGCAGCTATTCTAACTTTTTCTTCGATTATTATTGAAGCTCTTATTGTAATTTTTTTTATAGTAAATTAGATGAACTATCTTCTAATCTAAGTAAATCTCTTCAGCAATTATCAGCCAAGTGAACTGTAATGTATTTACATACTTAAAGTACTTTTATGTTCTTTTTATTATTAACGTATAAGTCTTGACAGTGATTTCTATATGAATATGAATGCTGAAGAAGAAAAAGTATTCTAAGACGTCTTAAAGCACGTACATAAGGCAGGATTTAAAAACCAATCAGACGACAATCAATGGAGACAATTTTTGCAACGCATGATATGAAATGGTGTCGCGTTTTACAAAGCCCATCCAGAGAGAAAAAGCATTCGACCCATGGGGAACGAGTGATAGTAATATGACGATCATAACTTTTATTATGTAGTTGTTCTTTATACCTTTCACTGATATTTTTTGTTTAATTTTAAAGTTATTTTGCACATTTCCTAATCTTTTTATTTTCCTGAAACAGGAAAAGAATGACAGCTCACGAATGCCTGGAACACCCCTGGCTAAAGGTAAATTCTGGAAGAAAAAAAAAATAGTTTAAACATATTTTTACGAAACTATGCCAATGTAGATTTTTTCCTAATGCTTTCTCTTTTTTTTTCCTTTAGGGTGATCTCAGTCACGATACTAAAATTCGCATTCCAAATAGACGATACGTTAAATTCAGGGACGAGCTTAGAGATAAATATGTAAGTGCTATTCTCGAACTAAAACTCACAAAACTGAAATTATGAATGAGTTTTCTTTTTTGTTTCATTTAAAATGCAGTTTGTAAGTTGCTTCTTTTCCTTTCTTAGGCTGATTCTTGGAAGAACTGTCTACTACCTTTTGGTCATATCGCTAATTACAGCTCACTGCGAAAATTACACCAGGATAAATATAAGATACAAGATTTCTATTTTGGTAAGTTATTTCTACCTTATAATGCTGCATAAATTCCCCCAGTAAGTAACTCGTAATATTCAGTGTCGACCCCTGTTATTCAAATGCTTAAGATGCTAGTAATTAATTCAAGAATTAACTAGCCAGCTTGCTCCTATTTATGTGAGGGAGGGATATTTTAATATGAAAAAAACATTAAGTAGCTGACTCACTGAATTACAACTACAAAATCTAGAACACAAAAAAAATAATGACCAGACCGAAATGTGAACGTAAAAAACGAACAAAACTAAAAAAAATATTGGGTTATTCGGAAATTAATTTCGTTTTTTCCCCAGAAGAGGACTCAATTGAATTTTATCACGACCAACTTGATACTTAGGCCACATAATCAGCTACCGCTGATGTGATGCCATAATAGGCATTACATATATTTCCTAACCTTTAAAATTTCTTTATCTCTTAAACTTATATTTTTTTAATCATTCTTAATCGAATTAAATCAATTATTTAATTTTTATTATAATTTATAATAAGCGAATATCATATTTAATTCGTTTCTTATCAATCAATCAATTTAACAGCTAATTTTTTATTTTAATTCTAATGTAGGCTCATTAATTCGCTAAATCAAAACCAAAAATCTATTTATAACTCCTTATTATTTATTTCTTACCACAAAAATTGTTTCAGTTACATCGTTTATACTAATTCTAATAGACTTTTTGATGATTTGGGATCGCCAAATTATTTCAAATTCGATATTGATTATGGGAGGTTGGTATAGTTTTGGGCTATGTTATCTTTCGATAATTCGCCAACCTTGGATCTCTTCCCATGCTCTCAACTGTCCGTTGGGAACAATTCATACACTTTCAATTTCCAAATTTTAGCAGCAGCCCTTTTGGGTCTTCCAGTCCTAACCGTTGAATTTGGATGCAATTTTAAATGGCTGTGAGTTAACGAAAATTGCGTATTTAGAGTCACGTATAACTAATATTTAAGCTTATGAATGACAGATAGTTTATTATTTTGGTCACATTTTCATCTCTTAATGTTACATAACATTTGATGTTATTTCAAAGGAAGGAAGATGTACTTCATTTCTTAGAGGAAATAAAAGAGCATTAAACACTTTATTGCGAGTACATTTGTTAATTTCCTAGCATATCTTAAATATTCGCTGTCAAGAAGAGGATAAAAAGTTGAAGAATAATAAATGAACAAATTCGAGCAAAAATGTTTTAGAATAACAAAATGGCTCATGTAAACGTGAATAAATAATTCTTCATGCTCAATATAAGCCAATTTTTTTATTCAACACCATTTTGAACATACTGTGTAAATTAAGTAAGTGTAAATTAATTTCCAGCAGTGTAAATTAATTTCTCCGGCAGTGTAAATTATACAAGTGTAAACTAATTTCTCCAGCAGTGTGAATTAAACAGGTGTAAATTTATTTCTCCAGTAGCGTAAATAATACAAGTGTAAACTGATTTCTCCAGCAGTGTAAATTATACAGATGTAAATTTATTTCTTCAGTAGTGTAAATTGTACAAGTGTAAACTAATTTCTCCATCAGTGTAAATTATACAGGTGTAAATTAATTTCTACAGTATTGTAAATTAATTTCTCCAGCAGTGTAAATTATACAGATGTAAATTAATTTCTCCAGCAAAGTTCGTTTCATTAAAATAACGAAGTAGTCACTACAATTCTAAAGTAGTTTGTAGTCATTACATTTTAAAAAAAAGGTAGTCGTAGTTAACTACATTCGTAAACTGTAACTGTAGTAAACTACAAAAATAATGTAGTTTTTCCCACCACTGTCTAAAACTCTTTTCCGGTCGCTAGAAAAGTCTTCAAATTGTCAAACTAGGGGATCATCTCGATCAGTTTTTGGCCAAAAAACAAAAGTGTTATGATTGCATAATCATGCTACTGCCAGAAAGATGGCGAAAAGAATTGAACCAGAAAGGACGAAACATGTCTGACTACAGATACCGTCATTAGGGTGTAAAGCATTTCCATATTACAATTCAGTAGAGGTTTAAATAGTTTTTGAGGCATTTCAATAATATTTTTTATTCATAAATTTTAGATCGTCTTCAAGCAGCTCCAAGGTTTGTCATTCGACCCCAGAGTACATTCTGCTACGAAGGACAAAGCGCAAAATTCTTCTGCAGAGTTACGTCACCGGCTCCACCTACCGTATCATGGTAAGTATCATGGCAATATTTGTACTTGATTTAGTAGTAAAGCAAAATGGAGATAATGTTGCGGTTTGAAGTCTGGATTTATGGTTAAGGGAGCTATTTTCCTTCTCTGTTAATTATGCTAGACCTCTAGATCTATATCAATGTGCAAAATTAAATAAAATGATCCTTCCATGATAAATGTTTACCTCAATATCGGATATTTTTCCCCTTGAAATCCGTATTTTAAATTTAATTTTACAATAATCCAACACGGAAATTATACTTTTGCAAATATTTATTCTTCCCAACAAAATTGGCAATTTTAAAAAAAAGCAGATTTAAATCATGATAAAAATGAATTAAAACTCTGATGTCACATTTGTTTGAAAAAAGTATTAATCTTCATAAATAATTATTTTATCTATGTGCTTAACTGATAAAAGTTTTGTTATTAAACTACTAAAAACGTTAGAGCCTTAATGAAAGGTTTAGTGTACTTTGTCAACGATAAGAAGCCTGGCGCTTCCCTCTCTGCACGCTACTGAAGTTCACGTGTACGCCAACAATAACGTAAAAACAAACCACTGCTGCTGCATTGGTAGTAAGAACTATTGGTTGGCGGTTGAATAAGAGATCACACATTAAGCATTTTCTTGCAAGATAAATGAGTGTTTCCCTGTATCAACCATCGCCATGTAAATAGTTCTCTGACTTTGGAAAAATAATTTAGATTAGACTTCATTATCATCATAGTTGGAAAGACAACCCAATGTAGGCCAAAGCCATCCTCTGAAGATTTCACTGTAATGACTTCCGGTTTATCTTTGATCTCTAATTCTTTCCATTAATTGCAAGAAAATCAGACTCCACCAAATCAGCCCATCTTAACCGCGAACTTCCCCGCTTTTTTTTTGTTCCAGTGGGTCTAAAAAGTAATATTTTTTTATTGTATTGTCATCACTCATCGCATTTATTTTTATGTATTTAACAATATCGGGTTTATAAATCTTGTAAAATTCAAAGTTAAATCTCCTTCTCCAGTTATTGTTTTCATTAACACCAAGTATACTCCGCAAAATCTTCCTCTCAAGTAGTGTGATACAATTTTTCTCCAGTTTTGTCATTGTTAAAGCCTTCAGAAGCTTATGTCAAGACCGACCTGACGAGAGTTTTGTAAATTAAGAACTTTTTTTTTTATCTGGAACCTAGATATAATAAATCTTCTCAGTCCATCAACAGCAATATTTACCAGATAGTCAGTTATTTTTATTTCAGGAGACAGTCTGTTATGAATAGTGATTAGGTTAGACTTATTAACCCTGTAAACTAAAGGTCCAATATTTTAATGCAACTAGAGATTTTATTTTTTGTGTGTGTGCAGGTATCGTGATAATGCTGAACTGAGACAGAGCGTGAAGTACATGAAGAGATACGAAGGTCACGATTACTACTTCGTCATCAACAGATCTAAACTAGACGACAGGGGAGAGTACATCATTAAAGCTGAAAATCATTACGGTTCCAGAGATGAGCCAGTCTTCCTTAATGTACAATGTAAGCATTCATTGTTTGTCAGCAATCTTCCTTTTCAGATTTGAAATTATTTTACACTCTCGATTGACAATCATAATTTAATACAATGGCGATTAACAATCATTGTCAACAATGATACTTTTTAACTTTATTCCGATAATAACAACGTATTTATTCTATATCATTAGCTGCTACCGAATTTTACCTACAAAATTAAACTCAGTGGCGCGACAGCCCTTAGAAGGCCACGTCCAACTGTGCCCATCTCAGTTTTCTTGACCTTGGGCTCTGGGGTGCAGGAGCAAATGTTCTGATTAGATGGTCAGCCGAGCGTGGACCCCCAGTGTTTAGTTCTCAAGCATGCTTGATGCTTATTTATGGACCCACTGAAGGGATGAAAGGCTGGGTAAACCTTGCCCGGCCTGAGAATCGAACGCAGGACCTGTGACACGAGAGCGAAGCACTATCACTCAGCCATCGAGTTTTATCAGTCGTAATTATATTTATCAGCCCTATCATTAATGATACCGTTTCTGAATGAACATCTAATACTCCCTCGATTACCTATCATGACTGCACTATTATTGTGATTCATTGTCAGCAATGATACCTTCTTGCTGGTAATAACGCATTTATTCTGTACCATAAACTACTACCGATTATTAACAGTCGTTTTATCATTGTGCATCGCTGTCAGTATTGATAAATTTAATTTCTGTCTTAAATTCATTTACACCTTCAATTATCTGTCGCAATATTGATGTGTATCACTGTCGGCAATAATTATTTTCATTTCAGAATGAAATTTGCATTCTGAATTACAAATGGTAATATTGTGTGCCACTGATGTCAACACCTAAAATCACCATTTTGCGACTTTTATTTCACCAATAATATTTTTATTGTGTATTTTCATCATCAGAAATGATAATAGTTAAAGTTATAATTTGGGGCCTGGATAGCCTGGTTGGTAGGGTACTGGGTCCACGTCCAAGAGGTCGTGGATTCGATCCCCGCAGTCTGAAAGTTCCCCGTGTAGTAAATGGTGACTGGTGCTCGTTAAATCTGTCAAAGTCCGCCACATTCTCATAAAAAATCATACCTCTGGGGGTACTGATCCAGGAGTTTCCTTGTCGTCTGGATCGGTTCAGAATTATAAGGGTCCTGAGATGAACATTAGTAGTCATAAACCCAAAATTGGGTCTGCTGTTCAACGACGGTTATAAAATAAAGTTAAAAAAATAGTTATAATTTTATTAGCTGTTACAGAATATTTAATAGCATGCATATTTTTGTATTACATTTGTAACTATTACACCGATTTTAAGACTTTTTGACTTGTTTTTTCTTTTAGTTCAGGTACACAGATTTTAACACGATATATTTTTAATTCAAACAACCTCGATAAACGTATTACAAAAATTTTCACTTCTTAGGCATTTTAAAAGAATATAATAGAGAAAAAAGTTCTCAGAAAAAATTGCCTTAAAGCTGCCTTATCTCACGTAGTTATGGCGTTCAATAGCTTCTTACATTTCAACTTTGTTTTTTGGACTGGGCGACTAGTACCTTTTTCGGGAACATCACTAGTAGGGTAGCACCTTTTTTGAGAGCTCATAGAGGGTTCAACGCTGAATCAGTACAGTTCGATGTGGTATTGCTTTAGATTTTTTTTACTTATTTTATTAATTCTAAATAGTAACATGTATATTTTTTTCTTTTTTTTTGAAAATTATGATTAACAATTTATTTATTTTTTCATTATAGCTGTTCCAATTGACATTCCAAAGATAGTTCTGGACGAACCAGTCAGGTATGTTTTCTAATTATATATTGATTATAAAACATGTTCGACCCTGAATGATTATAACCCTAGTAGAAGTATAACTCGGACACCTATTTAGTAAAATGGCCATTATCAATATAGGCCCCATATTTAATAGTAGGCAGATATATAGCTTTATCTGATTCAGCCTAGGTTCTTTAGCCCACATAGGGCCTATATAAATGTTTCATTAGTTATTCGTCATCCACTGTTCAGCCTAGAATGAACCAAAAATGTGTTCAATTTATCAGACATTTTAAGCCACTATTCACCGTAAAATGTAACATTTTGATTTACCAATAATTTTCATTAGCTTATATTGATATAAAACTTCGTCCGATATTTTATGGATGTTTGATTGAATACAAAAAATAAAAAACTTCCTAATACCAGAAATTTAGAAAACTTCCGGTGTATTCTTCCGCTTATGTTATGCTTACGAGGCGATATGTGCACAGACTTAATATTCTAAGAAGTTTTATTAATGTGATGTACGTTTATATGATGTACGTTTATATAATGTGATGTTGTAATTTTAAATTTACTCGTAATTTTAAATTTACTCGCTCCTAAATTTAAAAAAGTACTAATTTAGGACTAAGTAGTTTTTAAAACCGTCAGAACAAGAAGTTTTTTATGATCTCTTAGTTAGAAATAATCATTTCCCCATTAAAAGAATTAAAAAGTGTTTGACTCATTTCTAGGAAGAGGCAAGAATTGCAGCCAGTGTTATACGAAGAACCAAAAGACTGTCCACCACTTTTTACTTTCATGCTCAGGCCTCGTGTCATTCAAGTGGGAATTGGTGTGAAACTTTTAGCTTGTTTAGAAGGAAAACCAGTTCCTGAGGTAAGAGATTCATTCCCTTTTTTATAACCGCACAGTAAAAACAACACCTAACGAATTACGATAAATATTTAAACGTAGTTTAATACTGTAACAATTGAAGTTTTTATAGGTTCGATGTGTGGCCAAAATCTTTATCGAATTAACCGTACCCAAACTTCCTAGATTCACTTTTTTCACAATGTTTTCTCTGATTTTACTGGTTGATAAAACGGTATAAAATAACTCTAGTTTCATTTTAACACATTTACTAAAAAATAAAATTGAAAATATGAACGAATGATTTACTTTTAAAAAAATGTAATTAGATAATCATTAGATGTTACTAAACTACTTAGGATAAAACAAACTAAGAAAAAATTATATAATGAATACTAAATTTTAAATTGAAGACAATTTTATTTCATTTTTACTAGTATTTAAATAATGTTTTTCGATTATTTTATTTTAATCAAATATTATAGAGTATTTTTTTCACTAATGTACATTTGCCAATATATGTAACGAAAGTAGTATTTTATGCAAAACTATGGATAAATTTGACTGAAAGTGTTTTTCCAATTACACACCCATTTAACAGAATTAAGAGAAATAGAGTTGACAGTGATAATTGTATTGAACATGAGGGGAAATGTGCTTATTTCCTGTTATTTTTTTATTTAAATTTAAAGTTGTATTATGAAAATGTTCTATCTTTTCCCCAAGAATTTAAAACATTTTTAGTACCGAGTTGAAACTATAATAATCCAAGAATTGCAATTTTCATTCTTCATAAATTTTTATACCTTCTTAACTATCAATCTTATAGACATGATTTTGGTGCCAATGAAAATGCATGTGCAACAATACCATAGCTTGTCTATATCATAAAGTTTAACTTTCCTTCTCTTTCCCCTCATTAAATTCAAGATGGTTATACGAGGGGAGAGGAAAAAGTACCCTTACCACAACTTATTAAACAATTTTTGTATTGAGCTGCTTACTTTTAGCAACGCTGTCCATGAAAGACAACATTGTTCTTCCGAAAATGGTTCTGCAACCTTATTCCAGGTTATCATATAAAAGTCTTATTTTTATTAGCTCTTAATGGACAGTAATTCTTTCATTCTACTGTTAGGTTCTTAAATGCTAAAGTTTATGGTTTTAAATCTCACTTTTCGTGTTATGGAATGGAACTGTTTTGTAACTTTCGAAACTCCATTCTATTTTTCAGATTCGATGGTTCAAAGACGGTAGAGAGGTGGGTAAACACCAGTACAGTGTAGCCTATAATGCAGGTGTAGTTTCCCTCGAAATACCATCCTGTACTGTAGAAGATTCTGGTACATACATTTGCACTGCCACAAACACACTGGGAGAAGACAGAACAACCTGTACTGTAAGAGTAGAAGGTGAATCTCTTTTTTGCACTCATAGTTCCTTTTTCTTTAAAGTTTATGCATTTTATTATAAAGTTTATGCACTTTATGCATTTTAAATTTGCACCAAATCGGACAAAATATAGTTGAATATCACATTATTCTTACCCAGTGCAATTTAATTGTCTATTATAATTGTTGCGTGCAATTTAATCATCTATTATGATTATAATTAGTCTATTACATTCATAATCGTGAAATAAGATCATGATAAGGAGCAATGATTTCAAATGCAATAGCACAAAAATGGAATGCTTGTCATCACCGTGATTAAGCTGCAAATTTAATGAACTATTTTATCTCTTTCAGTATAATATACTTTTATACCGAAATAAATATTTTCGGCTGAAATCTTTCAATTTTAGAGCTGCGCGGGAGATGATGCCAAGAAAAAAAAAATGAGATACTTTGATAAATGATACGATGAAAACTAAAACAATAAGTGTTTCATATTTTTTCGTTCAGAAGCTCGAATCAATGGATCGAGAGTTAAAATTAGAATTTTTAACAACCGTAACAATTCTATGGAATTATTTATTTCGATATAAAACTAAATTGCATGTTACGTTAAAAAAATACAATTGAAGCTTCATTTAATATACAACTAATAAGAGCAATAACAAGTAATCCATTTCGTACATTGAAATCTTACCTTAAGAGTGCTTGTCGCTCTCACTTGTAACCTTATATTGCGATTACGCGTAATGTTAACTCTTACTGTGGGCTGGAGCTTGGTGCTAAAACAAGGTGTTTAAAAACTGAAGTGAAATTAAAAAAGAAGTTCATGTAGTTTTTTTCACACTCTTAAAAACATAGCAGACGACTGATTACATTAATGGACAGTTCTTGCCTTGATAGAAAAGATTTTTTGGTACTCTTCCGTTAGCCGGGCGCAAGCGAAAAATCGCCAAATAATGTAGAATTTCACCCAGGGCTCGAAAAACCACCCGTTCGCCCGTCCTCGGCGGTCAAAAATTCGCCGCGGACAACGAATTTCTCGAATCCGACGTCCGCGTGGACGGCCAGTTTCCCGTTAATGTTGGTGATACATTTTCAATTTTTGTTATCTTACAAGAGTCTAGCGCCTCACTTCTAAAATGACCCTCTAATCTCGAAATACAGCAACATACTGCGCATGGTGGAATTGATGTTTTCTCTGTCTGGGAGTACTGCAGCGGTTGAAAGGGGCTTTTCAGCAATGAACTTACAAAAAAACACATTACTTACTGGTCTTAAACAAGAAGCGTTAAACGCATTTATGAACATCTACCTAAATGGAAAACCTCTTTCAGATTTCTGTGCAGAAACCTCTGTAAATCATTGGCTTGATTGTGGAACTGGCAAACGTCATATTTGATTCATTTAAAAAACGCAGTACCATCGGATAAATTGACATGATAATTGACAGATAACTTAACCTTTGTTATTTAAATTATTTCATCAAAGAAATAAATTATTTCATAATAGAAATACTAGGTTTTACTATTAGTAACCTAGTATTTCTTTTATTACTGTATAATGTTATCCTAGTATTTGTAATCCTAGTAACTACTAATTCATTGTGCAATTTATATAAATGTTTGTAATAAATAAGAGAAAATTATATTTTTATTTATTTAGAAGCGACGGGTTAGTTCCAAAGGAGGACGGGTACATTGTTCGACAAGCCGTCCTCGGGGATGGGTAAAAGTTTTGAGTTTTTTCGAGCCCTGATTTCACCAAATTTCTCACAACCATAAGGGGAGCATCGGAGAACTTCTTTGGCATCATTTGGAGTCGTACCTCGTTGAATTTAATGTGGAGACGAGGAGTAAACGATCCATTGGAGCAAATGCTCAAGAACATCACCGTACTCTAGAAAAGCCAATTATTATAAGCATTCCTTTTGGGGTGAAACTGTTTTGTTTAAAATTCATTAATATTATTTTATAGTTGAACTTGTTTTGCTAGCTATTAATAAATATTTGTTTATAGTTGAAAACTTTCGACTTTTATTCCGTTGACTGTTTTGTCATTCGCTTCGCTGGGCGACTTGGTTCGTGTTTGGTTCCTAATTGGTGACATTTGGGAATGGACGGAACATAACATATAAATACCGATTTTTCTTTCACAGTCAAAAATATATTAAAATTTTAAAAAATTTGCCTGGTTTTTGGATCAAGCTTCTCAATTATAACTAAAACATTGCGATATTTTTTGAACGCTTCAAATAATTGACTATTTTAAACCAATTTTGCTCAATTTTAATTGAAAATAAATCTGCAATGCATAATTTCAAATAACCATTTACTTCCACAGATCGAAGAGGGCCCTCCAGAGTTCAATCTCCAGCCATTACACCGCGTGTAGCAACACCGACATCCCTTTATAGTTCGACCAAAACTAGGCCAGCTCTTTCAAAGCCTACCAAAGATCCAGTGTCAGCTACTCTGTCTGCGGCAGCTACCAGGTTGTCAGCACCAGATTCGGCAAGACTGTCAGCTCCAGACTCGACGAAGAGAACTCAGAAAGCTTACGGAAAGAAAGACACGGAGGGTGGGACACCGACCAGATCTCGAACGGCGACCAAAGAGCTCCTTCGTAAGTTTCTTACTAGATTTTAATAAAAAACAAGAAAAAAGCGGTTTCCGAAAGTCGGTCAATTATCTCTAAAAGAATGCATTCAATCAAAACACACATTTAAAATATTTTCTAGAAATTCAATGATATCAGACTACAATCCTTAGGCTGCTAGGAAGTGGGCGTCAATTTTGATATTTTTAACATAGTTTTTTTTCCATCAAAATATCAAAAATTTCTATTTATTTTTAGTATCTCTAGTTTAAACAATCTGCGTCTCATTTTCCTTTCGTGATTACCTTAATATTCGTTACCTAGATGTGTTCTGTAGCCTCATAATCGATGAAATCTACAAAACAAAATATATTTAGGACAAGGAAAGAACCGTCTAATGTTTTTACTATTTATATTTTGGACACTCTGGAATAATTTGTGCAAAAGCTTGCTTGATGCTTTTATCTAGGAAAACTAGAAAACAAAGTTCTTCAGAACATCGCTGATGGACACACGTTCGCGATGAAATGGGATAACTTCTAATGAGTCTGATGAGAAGACCCAAGATTTTAGGGGGAAAAAAAGATTTTAAAGTTATTTAATATGACGAAAGTCTCAAGACGGAGTTATTCATCAGTCATCCATTAGAGGTCAAAAAATATGACCCATGTAATAAATTTAAAATCTTAAGAATTTGTCTAAGCTAATGAATGACCACAAAATATCACGTTTTATGTAGATATGTTTATTAATTTTCTCTTTCAGTCCCTGAAGACAAACCAATGACTCCTCCTAAATTCAACCAGACATTGGGAGATAGAACAGTGAAAGATGGCGAAACTGTGACACTCAAGTGCACTGTATCGGGTGACCCAGAACCACAAGTTGAATGGACGAAGAACGGAACGGTAAGTTTCTTTTTTTTTTTCAACTGGACGGAAATATTGTTTGCCTTCAATATAAACTGTGAGGGGTAACATTCATTTGCATCGCAAAATGAAGATCATTCCATCCATTTTGAAATAGCTTAGCCCGAAGAATAAGACCAAAACTTGAATATGCGGGTTAATAGAAGAGCATGCGTGGTTAATTTTATTTCATTTTATAACCATCGTTGAACAGCCGACCCAATGTTTCGGGTTTACGACAACTAATGCTCTACTCCGTAGCCTTGTCATTTTGAACCCAATCCAGAAGACAAGGGAACTCCTGGCTAAAGTAATGGAAAAAATTTGCTATGGTAAAATTACTTTTTGATATAACTAACCCGCATTTGTGTTGAGTGGAGAGGAAATCCACGGAAACCTCCCATGGTTAGCCCACTTGCAAGGGGACTCTGGCCCTTTATCCGTGTCTAACACAGAAGATATTTTAAGTCAACACAGTTGTCGGTGCAAACCGGATGCGGAATTCGTAACGACCAGCCATCGCTGAGATTCGAACCAGGTTCATATCATTGAAAGCAGAACTCTCTATCACCTTAGCTGCGGCATTAATTGTAACCTATCCATTGGTCAACAATTTGTACATATTATCAGTTTACAACATACTTAAATGGAGAGCTGTATGAAAATAGTAAATCCGTAGTATTGTTTAATTATTATTGTATTGCGCATTGTTTAAACGTAATAGCATCAAACTGCCGTACGAAAAAAGAAACGCAAAAAAGATCGCCTCAGTATGTCATGATCACACGACGCGTTTTTACACTCGAAAATAAACTCTCAAAATTTTAGTGTAAAAAGAAGTATAAGATTGAAATTCCAAAACTTTTAATTTTTTTTTTTTTTGAATCATTAAACCAGAGAATACCATTAAATCAGAAACTAAGAATTATAATGCGAATAAGCAATCTAGAATTTATGAAAGCATTAAAAAAATAACTTTTAATTGAGTCCTTAAACAGGTGTCAAGAATCCAAATACGTCAAGAAAAAAGGTGCGTTTTTTTCAGAAAAACTACGTTTTTTGCTGGATTTTGAAACATCCTTTGCATTAAGTGATTAACATGTTTGAAGTTACCCCCTGAAATCTTAATCAATCTTAACTATTAATTAATACAGGGTGATTCGTTTATTTTTTGTGAAGTGTACCTATTATAAATCTGACATACAGAAATGGTATAATCAACATTAAATCTAAATCGACACTTTTGTTACAGGAATGAGTAATGTTTTCAGAGGAGAATTATCGACTACGAAGTGTTCAACTCTAATAAGCCTTAACAAATTATTGTTATCAATAGGGGAGAGTGGNAAAGAAGTATAAGATTGAAATTCCAAAACTTTGAATTTTTTTTTTTTTTTGAATCATTAAACCAGAGAATACCATTAAATCAGAAACTAAGAATTATTTTTAGTGTAATGCGAATAAGCAATCTAGAATTTATGAAAGCATTAAAAAAATAACTTTTAAGTTAATAACTTTTGAGTTCTTAAACAGGTGTCAAGAATCCAAATACGTCAAGAAAAAAGGTGCGTTTTTTTCAGAAAAACTACTTTTTTTGCTGGATTTTGAAACATCATTTGCATTAACTGATTAACATGTTTGAAGTTACCCCCTGAAATCTTATTCAATCTTAACTATTAATTTATACAGGGTGATTCGTTTATTTTTTGCGAAGTGTACCTATTATAAATCTGACAAACAGAAATGGTATAATCAACATTATATCTCTATCGACATTTTTGTTACAGGAATGAGTAATGTTTTCAGAGGAGAATTGTCGACTACGAAATGTTCAACTCTAATAAGCATTAACAAATTATTGTTATCAATACTATTATCGGCAAGCCTGACTTTAAAAAGGTGTTTCATATTAACTATTTTCTTTTAACGAAGCTTTTTTATTTCACTGTTTCAGGTGGTTCACTCCTCTAAAGAAATAAGTTTGAAATATAAGAGTGGGGTGGCAACACTGACCATCGAAGAAGTTTATCCAGAAGATGGTGGTGAATATGTCTGTAAAGCAACAAATTCCATAGGAGCCTCATCTACCAAATGCAAACTTAGCGTCACAGGTAAAGAAAGAATTCATTAGAATATCCAAAAAACTTTTTTGTTTGAAGTATTTTATTTATCATACAGTTCAATGATGCTTAAATGAGGGGATATTCCTGACTTTTTGTAAAAGGTCGTTTTTGAGAAGTTTAGAATCCTCTCATAATTTTTCTAAATCTGAAATTACCGCAAAATCCAGGCTCTTCTAGCTGGATTCACGATTTTTGTGAGAAAAAATTCAAAAACTTCGTCCTTTAAAGAGTTGTAGTTTTGAAATTATGAATTTAATACGCTATTAACTCCATCTTACAAAATAATAATTTTGTGAAGGGTTCGGTTTGAAGGATAAAATATGACTTAAAGGGTCAACTATTAAAAAAAAAAATTGTGAAGTATCCATTTTAACGATTAAAAGGAATTAGTTATAAACTTTAGTTTATCCTAAAATCTGCCTAATGTAATGCAATGTGAAGGGATTTTCTTTAAATCCTGTATTTATGACCTCCTAAATACCTAATGTAAAATTATGAATTTTTTACTCATTTGAATCATAACTGCTTCGTTGGCAAACTAGGAAAATGGAATAAAAGTGTTTTATCTGATGTATCAGTACTAAACAGGAACCATAGCTGCCATCTGTACTGCATTTTTTCAGTTTCTCTTGGTCTACTGACTTATTTAAAACTCTCACGGTTTTTGTACATTTTAGAAAATTCCCTAAAATTGAGAATCTTTCTTAAAAAAGATTGCCATTGAAATAGAATTTTTGTACAGATTATCGCTTGCTTGATTGAATATTTAAATAAGTATTACTATTACATGACGAAGTGAACCTCATTTATAGAAATCAGTTCAAAACTTTTTTTGTTCTAAAATGTTCAGCTTATTTTTATTCAGACAAGCTCTTTTTAAATTAAGAACATAGTTTAATTATAGTGCCTATTAATATTCGTAACTCATGACATTTCGAGTATGCTTAATATCAATCATAACTGAGAAATATTGCAGTTTTTCTTAGTTTGATGAAGAAAAAAAATTCCTAAAATTCCCTGTGTGTAAAATATTTAGTACATTATGCAAAAATTATCATGAAATTTGTATTATTTCTTAAAATCTACTAGATTTTTTTACTGTCCATGCTGAAAAACTATTTTCTCAAAATTCAATTTTTTTGCCTTCAGGAAAATTGAAAGAAAAAGATTCTGCCGAAAAGAAAAGTGGGGGAAAACCACCCAAAATTATCGAACATTTGCAGAGCCAGGTGGTTAAAGATGGCGATCCTGTCACTTTGAAATGCAATATTTCAGGTAAGTTCACGCACATTAATTTTCAAAAGAGACATATATAATTATATGCAGAGACTCCAACACATTACTTCATTAGAATATTTCGCGTATTTGTTCTTAGTTGCATTTTCTGTTCCGCATTGTTATTTTCAGGCTCTAATATAAGACTAATGACTATTCTAATTATACCTTGATTACTTTAAGCAACAGCATTTTCATATTATCACTCTAATTTAATATTATGTGTCCCATGGCCGAATTTTTTCAAACTATCACTGTCTAGCACTAATGTCTTTCTGCTAAATATTTTTAATAACAAACTTATATGTTACTAATTTAAAATAACAAAATAACTGTGCACAAAAACAATTTTTTTTTAATTGAACATGTAGGGGAGAGTCGGGTAGCCCCGCCCACTTAAGGACTATTGCTTATATTTATGTATAATATTGAATAATTCAATACTTTTGTATTTTTCTATTGTTTTATCATCTAATTAAATAATGCAAAAAGAATAAACCAGAAAAGAATAGTTTAACTTAAAAAAATAGAAATTTAAAAAAGCATGTTTTTCAGCTCTTTTCAAAATGTGTCGGGTAGCCCCGCCCAGTTACAAAAATTATGTTTTTTGACTGTTTTTTCAGGTGTAAATAAAAATGACTAATGTATTGACAGTAGATAAACCTCATTTATCATTTTTATCACAAAATTATTTTATTTATTACATATTTATATACTTTTAGTGAATTCTATCATTTAATAACAATCATTTAATAACAACAATCATTGTTGTTAAAAATGCATATAACATTCAAATTTGAAGCAATAATGATCTTTGCAACTGTACATTTATCGACGAAATAAAATTGGGCGGTGATACCTGACATTCATGTGCAATCCAATTTTTTTGTAAATTTGTAATTACTCGAACAATTTTTCACATATAAACTTCTTTCTTTGTGCAAATTAAACTTAAGACTACATACTTTAATGCTGTTTGTATAGAAAAAATAATTATTTCAGTATTAAAATGAATTTTAATCGAAACATTCAACCAATTTTTCTTAACTTCATGACTACTGTATTCAACATATTTTCAAAATTATTGTTTACCATGTTACCAGCTGCATAAATACTTGAAACTTTGAAAATAATCTTTTTTTAATATAACAATTAATGTCCGATGGCCCATTGACTTGAAAAAATATTCTATATATATGAAATTGACAGTGGGCGGGGCTACCCGACTCTCCCTTAATACTTTTTTATTCCAATATTATAGGTGATATACTCGCATTTTGTTGGGGAGCGGGGGGGAGTAACGCACAAACTATCTCCTTCTTCGCATTTTGTAAATAATCATCACAGTAAAAAAAATGAATTAAAAATCGTGACATCCGTTATCGAAGAAAAAAGATCCAAGACGAAATCACACGAATTAGACTCCTTCAAAAAGGGGTTACTCCAATGAATAATAAATAATATTAATATCGTATAAAAAATATCGGATATAAAACCTATCGAGAAATCTTTAGCAATAACTGCCAAAACATCGATAGAATCATCGCCTTAAAAAGCAAATATTTCGAATTTTCCGTAGTGTTTGAAATAAATCGAGACATTTTAAAAACCACGTGAAAATCAATATCAAGAACTGCCGAAAATGCAATCGGAACATTACATCGATTGACGATACTATCGGCTTAAACTAAGCGCGTCAGAAAGAGATTATCAAAATGCATGATTCAAATATGACGTGTAAATTTCTTTAGAAAAGAAAACTAAAAAATTTTTTACTTTCCAAATTAAACGAAATTCTTTCTGCAAGAGCTCTGTTAACGTTCTGCGACCATGTCGCCGTATCGCTGCAATTCTGCCACAGGGATTATATGGTACAGATATTTATTATTGGCTAATTACATTTTACCTATTTTAACCATATTTCTTTGTCTATTTAATTTATATTTATTATTGTATGTGACAGAGTTCTTTCCCATAGACTTTCTAACTGAATCTCTATTTTATATGTCAGAGATTGTTTTCGTTGATCTAGTATATTAATTTTCATGCTACAGTCTCTATACATTGTCAGCGCAATTTGTTAAATTGTATTTTAATTATTAGCATATACTAATAATTAAAATACAATAAAACATATATGATTAAACGTGCATTATTTATTTATGAATGCCATACAGTATCTGGCCAAATTTTTAGACGCACAATAAGATTCCATGTAAAATCTTAATTATCAGATATACTACAAAGCTTTACTGTTTTTACGTAGCTGAAATCGGTTTGCTAGGTTTTCGCTTTTGTATCCATGGGTGAACATTGAAATGCAATACGTTAAAAATAAATACAAATAGTGAAGTATGTAAAAAATCACCCAAATACAAGCACATTACATGTGTGTTTAAATGTATTGCCTATAAACTCGCGCAAAATATGTCATTAATAAAAAACTACGTTGCTTCTTATAAATTGGTCTAATCATTATAATGTACTGATATTATGCCTTATACAGTACAGAACCCGTTATCCGGAAATCAGAAAACCGGAAAACCAAATAACCGGAACGAAATTCGATACATTTTCCCGCCATTTTTGAAAAAAACAAATGTTTTCTCCTCATAAGATTTCAAGATTTTTCTTTCTTTTTTGAAAGATGTTAACCTTACCATCATTTTGGAAACAATCATTAGTGTATTACTTCATCGTTTTTTCTTCTTTTCAAGATTATTTCCAAATATATTTTTTTAGTTGAATTTGACAATAAAAAAAACGGCTTTTTGTAGCGATTCAGAAAACCGGAAAAATCAGTTATCCGGAATAGCGATGGTCCCGATCGTTCCGGATAATCGGTTCCCTACTGTATAATAATTCTGTATTTATATAATATATCGTATAATTTATCGAATAGTCGAATTTATATTATCTATCGTCAAGTTTAACCCATTATTGATACACAAAAGTAAACAAGTGCGAACCGGTTTCAACCACGTCAAAACAATAAAGCTGTATTGTATCATCCGATTATTAAGATTTTGAATAAAATCTTAGAGTGTGTCTAACAATTTGGTCAGGGACTGTATATAATTTGGTTATTAAACGTAGTTTTTTAATGCTACAACATTTTAGTTTTTGGACATTTTAATGACGTATATTCTCACACATAGGTGAATCTGCTTTCGATGTGATCTGGCTGCACAACAACAAAGAAATCAAACCCAGTGACGACTTCCAATACATCCACGATGGTGACCAATACAAGTTGGTGATACCAGAGATATTCCCTGAAGATACAGGTACCTACACCATAGAAGCCATCAACGACAGTGGGGAAGTGTTTAGCACATGCACATTGAATGTTCAAGGTAACCATTCCCAAATACATTAGCAGAAATCGTTTAAGAGATTATACAGAAAAGAATAACTAGATCACATCTAAATTCATCGTTTAAACGTTTGACTTAATTTCCATACTGGAACAAGAAAGCGGGGAAGGTCGCGGTTGGGATGAACTGACTCGGTCGAGTCTGATTTTCTTGAATATAATTAATGAAAAGTATTGGAGATCAAAGATAAATCGGAAATCGTTATGGAGAAATCTTCAGAAGAAGGCATTGGTCCACATTGGGCTGTCTGGCCAACTATGATGAGAATAATGGTCAGATTTTTATGCACTGATTTAAAGCATGGTTTGCGGTGTCCAAAAGAGAGAGGCAATAATCAATTACTGCAGATGATGTTAAAAAATCTGACTTAGAAGTGTACTGTATTATAAACATCTTATAAATAAATACTTTTCTTTAAGAGTTCCCATGACTTTAAATACGTTAGGGCAAATTCTAAAATAGGTATATTAACACTTTCATCGCTGCAATGGCCTACCCTCTGGAAACTAACAAGTCTAACAGATATTATTACATCCAGTGCAAAAAAAGGTTTTATAACATCCTATTCCTTAGTTAATGGAAGTTTTCTTTCTTTCAGTCCCAACAGAAAAAGCGAAGGGTCCAGAGTTCGCTACCTATCCGAAATCAATGGCGGTTCATGAAGCTCAACCGGTGCTCTTCACGGCCATTCTAAAGAAAGAAGCAAAACGAAGTAAACGAACTGACTTTTTTTTAAAGAAAATTCTGTCTATCATAGCTTTGAAATAATAAACTTTCATACTAATTTATCCTTTTCTGAACTTTGAATACTCTCGGTAAAACGAAATGAAATGGCGTTATAAACAGAAATTTGGCGCAAAAGATACTAAATGAACTTTTGGGGTGAAGAAGACTTAAAAATTGTTCTTTTACATATTTTCAAAAGTAACAATTTCATTTTAGATAAATACATCATCAAAGTTAAAAAAAAATTTGAAAATTGATTTAAAACCACGCATCATTATTAAAAATTTATCTATGTTATTTAAACATTATGTTATACTTTTTAGTTTAGAGAAAGCTCTGTATTAATCAAAATTAAACTTGAAGAAAAAATCTAAATTATTCATTTATAAATCAATTAATAATAATCTTACTACTTATACAATTTTGCTTAAAACAAAGATTAAACGAATTATATTAGTTAAAAGGAACCAGGATTACAATGTAAGTTCAACAAGTTATTCTATTAAGATAGTCTTGATTCGCTTGATCAAACAATAGTAAGAAATGGTTTCAGTAGATTAAAAAAATAAAAAAGGTTTGGTTCTTACAACAATTATTTAGAGAAATATTCATATTTATAATNGCGAGCCTAACTTCAAACCACAAATAAACAAACGAAGTGTTCGATCGTTTAAATAGCTGCTCGCCAGATTTTATTGCATTATAAAGAAAAGTTATTGAAACTAAATACAACTAAATAAACAACAACAACTAAAACAAATAACAACAACTACTAATAACAATAACTAAATAAACAACTAAATTCCATTCGTTTAGCATTGCGTCATATGTTGTTCCTACTAAATCGAAGTAGTTGTGTTTTTTTCATATTATACCCAATTGGGGACTTGTACTTCAAGAAGATCACAATATCCACCCATGTGACCTATGACATCAACGCCAGCTGTTTGTCAATAAACAAAATGGCGCGTCAAAGTTGAGCTAAGTTATTCCACATAACTTAGAATGTTAACTAACGTGAAATTAATTGAATACAGTGCCTTGTCGCCAATTGAATTTGCTGAAGTATAATTCTTTCTTAAGATTATTATTTATTTATGAATTTTATTGTAACACGTGATATATTTTTGTTTTGCGTATCTGGCAACTACGATGCATAATTAGTTTTTCATGTTCTACGTGACTTCGTACCTGTCTTTGTGTTAAGTAAGATATATGTGGTGTAGGAATTGAAATCATTGTGAAGGTTTACAGAAGATTCATTTAAGAGATTTAGTTACTTAAGAGGATTTAAACTTGACGGGGTAAGTTATCTCGAAATGGAAAGGAAAGAACAGTTTCCAACGTAAACAAAGCAGCGTTTTAACAACCAATCAGGCTCGAGATATCCACACTACGTCACTTGCAGCTATCCCATTCATTTTGGTAATAGGTACAAATCGAAATTTTTTATAAAAAAATGTATTTAAGAGCTGAATTAATAAACAAAATATATTAATTTGTTACGGGAACAGCAAAGAATTATTTTTGGCACTAATGAAGCTTAAATTAATTTGATAGGTACAAAATGAAAGAAAAAAGTTTTACACTGAAAAGCTAAATGAATGCAGAAGTCAGTTTATGATAAAGTAACTTATATTGGTGTATAGGAAAAAATAAAAATGCATACTTTGCGTATTTATTAAGTAAATAATATTGATCTTGCCGTGAGATTAGGGGAGGAGGGTAATTGAATTGGTATCTAACATTTGAACTTCCGGTTACTTAGTTCTATTTAAAGTACAAAAATATTTAAACTGACAATTTTTAAGAAAATCACTTAAGAAGTAAAAATTTTAAAAATCGATTAAAAAATGACAAGAAAAATTTATATGTATTTCTTGTACTCATGAGTGAGATTAGATTTAAAGGTGAGAATTTTTGATTTAGCTGAATGGACGAAAGATGGCAGACCGATCGATCTGAAGAGTCCTCGAATGAAAGTGAGTTCAGAAGGTGCCAAATACTCTCTGTCCATACCCAGTGCTGTTCTAACAGATATGGGTCAGTACGTCTTCACAGCAAGCGACCACAGCGGGCAGAATGAAGCATCCGTTTCTTTAATTGTATTCAATGAATGGTAAGTCACATTTTCTTCTCTGCTTTTCAAACATTATAATGTGAGTCGTGAAGACTCAAAGGATAGAGCCTTCATCTTCCAATGCAGTGAACTGGGTTCGAATCCCAGCGATGACTGGTCTATATGAATTCCGGCTTGCCCCAACAATAGTGCAGACGTAAAAATATCCTCGGCGGTAGACGGATCATGGGTTTGAGTCCCTTTGCTGTCAGGCTAGCCATGGGAGGTTTTGGGAGTTTTCCTCAGCATGTATCGCAAGTACGTTCCATCAAAAAGTCCTCCAGGAAGGCAAATTTCTCCCATTATTTAATACGGGAGTTCCCTTGTCTTCTGGATTGGGTTCAAAATTAAGAGGTTACGGAGTTGAACATTAGTAGCCGTAAACCCAAAAATCGGGTGGGCTGTTCAACGACGGTTATAAAATAAAACATTATAAGGATAATAAGGTGTTACTTCATACTTTAATACAAGAGTTTCAACTATTACAATACTAATTAAAATTCAATATTGAAGTCACTGTTTCAAAACTATCATAAAGTAAACCGTATTCCAGTATAAGTATTGGCATATACATATTTAAGCAAGTACTCATAATAAATTATGAAATAGGCAAAGCAGGGAAACATTTTGTGACGTCAGAGGCGTGCCCGAAGGGGGACGTAAAAGGATAAATTCATCCCCTTAAGATTTTTCTAAAAATTAAAATGTTCTTTTATTTCATGATTGATATTTTAAATCTCAAAGGAATTTTTTTCTTCTTCTCTTGCTCAAATCTGTTTCCTCGTGAAGAGGATAAATTTTTCGATGAAAACCGATTTTTGAAAGGATAAAAAATGTATATCATTCTGTCCCTAAAAAATACCCAATTACTAGAACAGCAGACTAGACAAACTGAAATAGAAGTAAGGTTAATACTTTTACGAATATCTATAATCTTGCCTGATACAACATTCACTGCTGAAAGGTCATTTTCTACTTTGAAATATTTAAAAAGCTACTTCAGAAATGATACAACTTAAGACTAGATTGCCCAAGGAAGTCAATTAGACTGCTTTTTAATTTCAATTAGAAAAACAATGATGTATATAATGACACAATTTCTTAGAATATTGTCCCTTTTTGGACAACATATAATTTTTTTTCTATTGTTAATATTTACTACTAATTTGGTATATAACTGTAAGTAATATAAAAAATATTAAAAATTAATTTTAAACAAATTTCTTTACACATTAGTCATTCTATCACAATTCAGTCATTTTGACTGCTTTTGGGCAATACTAAGTTTCAGTCTTTCTAGTGTTTAAATGCACTTTAATTGACTCTGTTTGCTATATTCATAATTATATCTAAGAGAAGAAGTGAAATATTTTGCAAAAACAGAAAAGGAGACTAAATAAAACTTTGTACAGACAAATGTGTTTGTATACAGCAATCATTTTATTTTTCAATGATGTTGGATTCCACTAATTCTATAGTAAACAGAAATTTTGTTTGTCATGGTATTGTTTTTCTTAAATGATCTTTACTAGTGTAATATTTTTAGAAATTATCTTTATCCTTCTAGAAATAAGATCAAAATAGTTTATTCTTTGAGCCGCATGGCTAAGGGGATAGAGGGTTCGCCTCCCTGTGAGGTGAACCGAATTCGAATCCTAGCGATGGCTGTCGATACGAATTCCGCATCCGACTTGCACCGACCACAGTCAGGGGTCGAAATATCCTCAGTGGTAGGCGGATCATGGGTTAGGCTGCTTCCCTTGCCTTCAGGTTAACCGTATTAGGTTCTCGTGGTCTTCCTCTCCATGTAACGCAAATGCGAGTTAGTTCATCAGAAAGTCCTCCACTAAGGCAAATTTCTCCCAATACTTGATCCAGGAGTTTCCTTTTCTTCTGGATTAGATTCAACATCAGAAGGCTACGTAGTTGAACATAAGTAGTAGTAAACCCAAACAAATTGGGTCGACTGTTCACCGACGGTTATGAAATAAAATAGTTTATGCTTTAGTTTTTACCACCCAATGATAATTCTAAACTAAAGAAATCGCTTCTTTCATGACAATGAAAATATGCACCCCTCAAAATTTATTTATGGGTACGCGATTGCATGATTTTAAACATTTCGTTTGTTAAAAAAAGAACATTAACGCCATACCAATCTAACAGTCATAGTTTCGAAGACTAATTTGCCTATCGTTTTAAATTTTCAACAACCAACAGTTTCATTTTAAAAATGTTTTATGGTTTTAAGATATCATATAACTTCAAATAGTCCATTTGTTTTCTGCACTGCAAAGAACAGCATTGATAAGGTATTATCTTTAATTTGCGTTTCTTTTAAAGTAAGATTATTATTGTTTTTTTCTTTTTGGAAGCAGAACCATGCCTTAATACTTTTGTTTATTGTATTATTAACAGAAACATTAAAATATCTTTCTTCTTTCAGAGTTTAACGTACAACTGCTTTTTGGACTACAACGAAAACGAAACGAATTTTTCTATCGCAATAAAAAGAAAACGTTGCACGTGCAACTAATTTGAACTCAATTGAAACCTGAATTACCCACATANCTTTCAGTAAGTTCCAACAGTTTCATTTTAAGAATGTTTTATGGTTTTAAGATATCATATAATTTCAAATAGTTTTGTTTTCTGCAAAGAACAGCACTGATAAGGTATTGTTCTAACTATCTTTAATTTGCATTTCTTTTAAAGTAAGATTATTATAGTTTTTTTCTTTTTGGAAACAGAACCATGCATTAATACTTATGTTTATTGTATTATTAACAGAAACATTAAAATATCTTTCTTCTTTCAGAGTTTAACGTACAACTGCTTCTTGGACTACAACGAAAACGAAACGAATTTTTCTATCGCAATAAAAAGAAAACGTTGCACGTGCAACTAATTTGAACTCAATTGAAACCTGAATTACCCACATAGAAAACACTCATCAAGTATTTGGTGAAACCTTCTAACGAATGTACATATTATTCATGTGTATATATTCGAACACAAAAGACTGGAATTAAGGACGCCCCAAAGAACTCGTCCCGAAGATCAACTGTTTTCCTTACCCATGTGCTCGACTCATAATTTATTTTCTTATTCAAATCGTGTAGATTAAATTGAATTATTGAATACTTGAATAAAAACAAGTGAATTAATTTAATTAATAACAGAATTTAAAAGAGAGGAGGACGCTTATCCAAATGATTCATCCAAATGATTGAATGCGAAAAATTTTGTTTTGGATAAGAAACTACTACACAAGTTTAACAGTTATATCTTATTTAAATAAACCAACTTCACAACAACAAAAAAAACACTATTTAATAAATCTTACTTGTTAAAAGAGTATTAAATATGAAAGTATTTATCTAAAATAAAAGCTTTAATACTCTAATGAGTATTAAAGCTTTTTCTTGAAGTAAAATAAAAGCTTTACTTCAAAAAAGATTTTTTGAGGTTAAATTTTTAGAAGAGATATAATTGTGTAGATTCTTGTGTTATAGTTTCTTTTCCCAAATTTAACCTATTAAACATCCTCTCCGATTTTAAGTTCAGTTTAATTTACACGTTCTATTGCATGTTTAAGTACATAGAAAACTAATTTAATATCTATAACGAAATACAGTGGAGTTCATTTAATGTGTATCAAAATCTCACTTTTTTTCAAATAAATAAAATTGGATTAAATATCTTATTAAACTTATTCTTTTGAGTAATATTTTTGTGAAAGGAAAGATTTTAAAATTAACAAGATTTGATACTAAGTGCTTCAACTATTGTTATATTAATTATTTCCTCGTTTATGATCAAATATTTTTAATAAATTGAGTTATTTTCATGACTAGTGAACAAATTGTAAAATAAATTGTTAATGAATAGTCACACTTAATTTACTGTTCAACTATTTTTTGTGTATTTGTCTGTAATCAAGCTTTTTGCAACTATGTGTAAACTGTTTAAAATTATTAATTAATTGCTTGTACCAATTTTGCTTATTATGTTATGTGAAAATGCATGTTTTTAATAAAGAAGTTTGAAAAAATTGCCTACATTCTCTTTTAAGTACTTCAAAAAAGAAAGAAAAGCGTTCGAAAATCCCAATTTATGAGGGGAGTGTAGAACTATGTTAAATGAAAAGTTTAATAGCATTGGAACTTAAAGTCGCAAAATTACATTAAACTTTAAACAAAAAAATAAAGTATATAACATACAAAAAGTAACACCAATGGTACCAGAAAATATGTCAGACGACGAAAGAGGCTAAGCAACTAAAGCATGTCATTCCTATTACTCAGAGAAAATAAATCCTCAATAAGATATTTGATTGTATACCTAAGACAAAATTCTTGATGGTAATATCAAAGAATTTTGATGGTTTCAGTAAGATTCTTGGTGGTCCAATATGTGTTGATGGTCACCATCATACAACAATTTCCATCTACTTTTGATGATCCAACAAATTTCCATCTTCATGAATGTTTCTTTTGTGCTATCAATGTTAGTATCAGGCAATGCTTGATTTTTGATGGAACAATATAAACCATATTTTGATGGCAGAGGTTGTTTTACCATTATGATGGTCAACCAACAAGTTAAGTTTCTTATTGTTAGATCAACAACAACTATTAAAATATAATGGAAGATACTGTACGGCTACTTTGATGGTCCCCCAACAGGATTTGTTTATTAATGTTGGACCCACAACAATCAGAAAAATATGATGGAAGATATTGTTTTACTATAATAATGGATTAACCATCATGTTATGTTTAGTAGAGTCTGACCAACAGCAACTATTAAACTGAAATGGAGCATGTTGCTTTACTACTATAATAGTTCTACCACCATGCTATGTTGTTGTTGAACCCATAACAACCATCAAAGATGGAAGATGTTTACTATTATGATGGTAAACCAGCAAGTTATGTTTTTATTGTTGGACCAACAACAACCATCAAAATATAATGGAAGATGTTGCATTTTGATGGTTTGTGTTCTCTCATGTTCCCACAACAGCGATTGAAGATGTTTAACTATTATGATGGTTCAACCATCATAAAGGTTAAACATCTATAGATTGGAACCTGGACTGAAAATTTTGAAGATAGGAACCAATGCTGCCTCATTGGGAAACTGATAAGAGCTCTTGACTGTGCATACCAATTTTTTAGCAGCCATGATTTATAAGGGAAACAAGTTTTGATTTTCCCCATACTAGTACTGCAAGTATTTTTATTTATGAGTCAGCTAAAGCAGTTCCACAACATTCTCATGCTCTACAATATAGATTTGTATTATGAATTTTATTTATAGTTAAATAAGTTTTGATCACTATTTTTTTTCATTGTAGAGAGCACGTGACGTAAACGATCAGAAACAAAACTTATTAAAATTAATGGGGTTGAAAACATTGATCTAGGCAACTAAAAAACCTTATAAACTATGGGGTGAGCATTTTTTTTATATTCCCGATAATAATCGACTGATTATGTGAGGTAATGATGACTGTAGTCTGTAAACAAAACAGAACTAGAAATCTTATTTGAAATAGAATGATGGCAGTACACTTACGTTTTTAGTATCGTAGTATAATCATTCGCATCAAATGAGAACCTTTATGTATCTATTACCGAATCAGGAATCGATACTCTCCCCATAAACTACTCTTGAATCTCTACCAATCAGAACTAGAAATGCTAAATTAAAATAAGATAGAATAAAATAAAGCGACATACTATATATATGTATTCTATTATGTGTGTTATAATAAACACGATACATTGTGGAAAACAGAGAATAAAATTGTTCAAAGGCTTCTTAAATAAAATAAAAATATTGTATCCACAAGTTAAAAAATTATTTAATTCCAATTTAAGACATGAAATTAAAATATCAGGTTTTCAACTTTTCCAATGAAAAATTTAATTTTTTTATTTTTGAACAGGTTATTTATATCGTAAATTTTTAAAAAAAAAACATTGAGTATCTTTTTTACAGCAAGTTTATTTTAAAAAAAATCTAAAGGTCGACCTCCATTTAAGGTTTCCTACGTCAACTTAGATTTAAGGTTTTTATATAGAAGGTTGTTTTCCAAGGTTTTGGATTAGGGTAATGTGCTTAGAATAGAGTAGATTATCACAGATCTCGTTTTATGGTTAGAAGGTTTACACGTAAACCGCATAACAAGCCTCTTTAGGTTTACATTAAAAGGTTTTTGAAGAGTGAAAATAAACCTTATTTTGCGATCTGGGAACGTACTTCCTCTGAACAGACGTACTTTTTTTTCAAAGGCATTGGATTCTTGACCTTCGAAATATAGGGGGTCAATCTAGAAAATAAGGTCCAGATAGTAGGGTCGGAAGAAGAACAGTTGAATTTTTTACTGACCATTTTGCTTTTTGCGTACCTCGCAAAACTATATCTACACTATTACTTTCACCAGAGCTTTTTATACGAATTGAGAACTTTCAGCACACAATTATAAAATCCATCTATCCATAGATAATTTCAAGCAAAAAATAAGTTATTTTTATATTATTTTCTTTAATAATAGTCAAAACTTTTCAATTATAAGTAGGGAAATCTTTGCGCCATTTTAAAGAAATACGGTAATATACAAGATTCGAAAGAAATTGGTCTGATAGTTCCTAAGAAATCAAATTCTAAAAAGGTTGCATATTTAAAATTTGATTTCTCAGGAAAAATTTGTCCGATTATGTTCAAATTTTATATTTTGCACGCATGAAAGTACAGTCTATAAAATGATGTAAAAATTTGTGTACCTTACATTTCAAAATTTTTTGGATATTAATTAAATAAAATAATTATAAAAAGTAAATGTAAGAATTTATTTTTTGCGTGGAATTAATTTTGGATAAACGAATTTCAAACCTTTGTGACGAGTATCTCCCAATGTAGGAATTCGGACTGATTTATGATGATCCAACATAAGAATAGCTGCTTGTTTTGATGGTTTGTTCATGTTGAAGAATTCCCATTAAACCAGCAGGGACCATCACGAATCATCATGAACTGTTGATCCATGAAATCCAAACTTCTCTTAATGGTTAACCATCCTAGTATTAAAGGAGCTTTTTCCATCATGAAATGATGGAAGTTTGTTGGCATATCAACCATGAACACGTAATGGAAAATGATGGATGATGGTGGCCATCAAATGATGTTGGACCATCATGAATTGCACTGAAACCAACTTAAACCGTCAAAATGTTTTGATGGAACCATCATGAATTTTGACTTGGTCATAGGACGGGAGTAAGTAAACAAATTTTCGTTACACTAATAGTTAAGCAATAATTCACAATTCTGAATAAAAGAGGGAGAAGAGGATTCCGTTTTTCAGGCATTCCCTTTGACACGCGTTTCACTATTAGATTATAAAAAAAAGTTCAGGAACTACTGGTCTAGATCTTCCTATAACATCAAGATCATCGTCATAAGCAAGAATTTGAGTAAATCTTTAAAAAATAGTGCTTCTTACATTGATTCCAGTTGCTCTGATTACTTTTTAAAGTTCGATATTAAATAGAAGGCAA